CGGTCGAGCAGAAAATTCAAATAATTCAACGAAAATAGTAAGTAATTATGTTAAATACGCGTCATCTTTGGATGTTTCAACTGGAACGCAACAAAATAACAGTAACTTGAGTGACGGGGATATTTCAGCGAATCCAAGGTTGATAAAGCTGGTCGAGTTCCCTGAAAGAAAACCCGAACTTTCCGAGAAACCTATAACCCTTCTAAATAATTTAAGTCTATACAAAAATGATCCGTGGAAGGCTTGGGAATCGTACAGAACCATTGTGGAACACAATCTTATTAAACTCGTAACCAGCGAACACATAAAACAATTTCTTAAGCTTCTGTGCAATAATCCGAACGATATGACCTTTGAATGGCTTAGCCAAATCATGAAAGATATACTTTCGAATCGTCAACGGAGAATGATGGACCCGGCTCTTTATGCGAGCGTACTCCAATCATTGGCTGGACTAGGAGATGTTAGAATTGTGGCTGATGTGATAAGACAAATGACACTATTGGGGTACTATGTTGAGCAATCACGTGTGAAAGACATCGTGTCCCAATGCGCTGATTTTGATTCGGCGTACAGAATAGTTGACGCTATTGTTGCAAGCCATCCACAGGCTGATTGCGAGTGGTACCATATTCTAATATGCTTGCAATGCGATAGGGGAGACACCGAAGCGGCCATAAGTATACTCAGGTTATACAATCTGTCAGGACGGAGGCCAATGATAAAATTTTATAGTGTCATTGTTCATGAGCTTTGCAGAAAGGACGACATGAAGATGGCCGAGGAACTCGTGGAGGAAATGGTCAGCTATTTTGGTCCGCTCAATGAGGTGATGTATAATTCACTGATCAGCGGATACAGTAGAAGGAATGATATGAGTATGGTGACAAAAACATATGGTAAGATGTTGGAATCTGGTCTTCAACCGAAGAGAAGTGTATACACTACTCTTATATTTGCAAACCTTCGTCAAAGGGACATATACGAAGCATCGAAATTATACAAGAACCTTGTAAATCAAGACTTGAAACACCATCGACATTTGTTCATCGCCTTAATTTATCTACGAGGAATTCTTGGTGATTCAGAAGGGGCAAGGGAGACATTTGAAAAAATGAAGGCTGCCGGAATTGTTCCCGACATAATGTCTTACAACCAACTGATATTCGCGCATGATCGTGATGAAAAAGTTGATGCATCCAAGATCGAGTCTTTGTATTTGGAAATATTAACCGAGAATTTAGAACCAAACCGATACACATTTGAATTATTGATCGATGCGTTATCCAGGAGGGGGGAGTATTCAAAGATTCCGGGAGTTTTCCGTGAGATATCGGATAGAAATGTTCCCGTAACGAGTGCCGCTTTCAATTCGCCGATTCGTCGCCTTAGTCTGACAGGGAATACAGAAATCGCATGGAGGTTTTTCGATCGAATGATATCTGCTGGAATTAAACCGAATCTGTATACATATTCTTCGATTATATCGCTCGCTATTGCGGATTCTAACTTCGAGTTTGCTATCAAAGCCTTCAAGGATCTTCTGTCACGTAAGCTGACACCCAATGTTTACGTTTATTCCGCAATAATAACCTCGTTGGTGAAATCGAGAAAGTTGGTTCACGCAATCGCCATGCTCGACTACATGAATAGTCAGGGGGTTAGTCCCAATGTGGTTACGTTCACTGCGTTGATTCAAGGTTTTAAATTTGCGAGAAATTACGAAAAAGGAAAGAGGGTGTACGAGATCATGAAGCAATCCAATGTGTCCCCTGATAGGATGACCTACTATCATCTGGAAAAGTTGTATAAGATCACTGGGCACGCAAGGGAGATATCGAGTCTGCACGAAGATATGAAAAATTATGGTATTGATCCAAATTCTCACGAGCGCATTTTGACCAAAGGGAAGGGCTCTTTCTATTGGAGGTCAAGATTCCTGATCAATCGAAGGATTGAACGGCAAAAGGCAGCAGTCGATCCGGAAGAACAGTATGCGATCAAGAAACGGCAGCGTTCACTGTGGAAACGGAGAAATAAATTTAGGGAAAAGGCGTTGCAGAGATTGTACACAAAGCTTAGAAAAAGCGACGATCTGGCACCGTATCCTGAATGGAAAAGGAAATATGTTGGGGAAAATTTTTCAGAGTTGCAACGTTACAGAAGACTGGGAAGATTTCCATTTTGACGACGGGCATTCTCTACTGGTCGATTTGGAAATTAGATGATCAATCTCCCCGGAGAAGATTTGTGAATCTGATGACAGAGAATAATGCCGAAGCTCTTTACACCAAAGTATTTGCGCTTTGAGTAGATTTAATCAGAAAAATTCGGTGTTATTAACATGGTAAGTTTTAACATCTTACTTCACCGCGACCGCTATCTAATCTCGACATATCTTTGCTTAGTAACTCTACTCATCTTTAAGTGAGCAGGTTCACCATCCTGTGTATGGATCTTGGAGTTCAGCTTATACAAGGAGTCGAATAAATAAATATCATTATTCTTAATTTTTATTTATTCACAAATGTTCGTCGTCGGGCGCATAAATAGAGCTTCATGCATCCCTGAGGAAGTCAGCGGACGTTGATAGATTTAATGCGAAAGAGAGGAACCGTTATATTTTTGTCAATGCAGTTATCAATAATTTACCTAGAAATAATCGTTGCTTCGATCGAGTTTCGGAGTGATTAAATAAAAAGATTTAAAACGGTCCTCGATTGATTTCGATTCTTGGATGATATTGCACAAGAGCAATACAAAATAATTTAAATGATTAACATTAAATTTTATGAAAATTTTTCGATTAATTTATTTAATTTTCTTTGGCTGGCATTATATTGAATTATTAAAATGTGATTTTTCATATATGAAATTAATAATTCCGTTATTTTATTTTATTTTATTTTAACCCGCGATCATGCCGCAATGTCATTATACATAAGTACTTTAAGTCAGATTTTGATATGATTGGATTAACTATTATCTATCAGGATCATCGTCAACATATTACTTATTACTTGGGTTTTTTAAAATGAAATATTCTTTTTAATCATCAATGATATTATTGAAATATGTGAGTATAATCAATAGGGGCTTGTTTATATTCTAAAAACTAACATGTTTTATGTTAGTCAATTACTTTTAATAAGAATTTGTATTACTTAAAATTCAGAATCAAACTGAGATAAGTAAAATTCTTCAAAAAATTGTAAAAGTGAAAGCTTTAAGAGAATCTAGATAATTAAAAAAAATAAATAAATCTTTTTATTACAAAAAAATCTTTATAAATCTTTTGTTTCAAAGGTTGAAAAATCTTCAAATACTTCACAATCTATTTTTTTTTCTTTGAAAACTTTCTTACTATTGATATCAAAAGTATACTTGTTTTTTTTAACTATTGAAAATTAAATTTTTGAGTAAAAAGATTTTGTAAACAATAGAAAAATAATAGAGATGACTCTTGAAGTTAAACTTTAAGTTTTTTTAAGAAAGTATTAACTAAAAAATGAAAAAAAATTTTTAACCATTTTTTTTATATATAATTAGAGAATCAACAATTAGGTTTGTTATCACTAGTCGAAATTATGCCATTCGTTAACCATTCGTCAAACATTCGTCAAACATTCGTCAACTATTCATCAAAACTATTCATTAAAAATT